GGGTGGGGTGGGGTGGGGTGAAGAGCGGAAGAGGCGTACGCTATGTACCAGTAGTTACTGTTGGGCCAGTTCAGGAAGAGGCCGAGGGCTGCGCCTGCTGTGCCGGCTGTTAGGAGACCGGTTGAGAGCGTTACGATGATGAGGCGGTCGTAGAGCGTTTGCGTGTGTACCCAGATCGTCTGTGCGCGGGCGCGGAGGAGCTATACCAGGATGGGTCATCAGTCGCGATACGTGAGGCAGACGATACTTGGAGAAACGCACGAGCGTGAACATGCAGATCGTGATGAGGCAGTCGGCTGTGAAGTCGCCACCGAGATACAACTGCCGAACATTGGTCAGCTTCTCAGAGAGTGAGCGCGGCGATCAGTGCATACGTTGAAGAAGATATGAAAGGCTTTTGGTGTTACAGGGCCTCCGGAATTGCTGAAGCGCACCTGGCGCGCGGGATGAGAACGTGAACTGAGCGGCGTACCCTCGGTATCATGCACTCACGTAGATTGGTGTGGCTAGGAGCGCGCCGAATTGCAGCCAGGACACCTATCAACAACAGTCACAAGGAAGCCGTGAGCGAAAGCAGGGGGTGTAGGCGTACCAAGATGGCGACAGTCGCTACCATGCGATAGAAGATGCTCCTGGTTATAGTCCAGATGCGCCTACAAAGTCGAGATCAGTATCTTATGCACTCCGCACGATGACACATGTGATTTACCAGGAGTATGTACATTGGACCAGTAAAGCAACTAGATGTGTAAGCTCAGAACGATGACCACTCTCATGAGAGGGAGTGGAAGTGTACTGAATCCGGTGACAGTGCCGGTAGCCTGTCCAGTCCAAGGCGGAGTTCTAAGCTCAAAGAACGACTCTTGACCCCACTGGTCGACCGCGTAGAACCACAGCCAGTGCGTAGTGAGAACCGTCTCGAAGATGTTGATCGCCGTCACAGCGTACACTGATAAGATCGAGATTAGATATCAGCCGCGCGCAGCTTTGGGGGCGTGTAGATTGGGTCAGGGTGCTAACCGATAAGACGCATCCATATCGAGTCTTTTCTTGTCTTCTGATTCTTATCGTACACATCTGTAGGTCTCGTTGAGTGAGCGGAGCGGGAGGTACAGTGAACCTCGCACATAGTTGGACAATCAACGCTCCGAGCAGGAACCAGTCAAAGACTGTGCCAAGAAGCTTTACAAGAGCGACGGCTTCATCGACGCAGATATCCCCATAGAGTCGCACCACTCACGATAGGACCTATGCTGACAGAGGAATAAGCATGTTATTGTCCAAGCGCACGATGCAGTGCTTGTCAAGTCAAATAGACTCACAACGAAGACGGAGTAACAGACATACGACCGAAGCGCTCGCCTGGACCAGCAGTGATCGGGCAGTCAAAAGTGCCTGCGACTGACAGGCGTCCACTTATGTACGTTGACCCCACGGAAGTTTTAATGGCGGGCAGCGTGCCATAACACTGAGTAGTGTTTCCTACATTCCATTGGGGAATCTTCTTTGGGCAAACCGTATAGAGTGGTATGCGGTGGTGGGCGTCAAAGCTGGCTCGTGGCAGAGGAAGAGTGATGGGACATGAATGGAAGGTGTCAGAGCTTGCGCGCTGCGGAATGAGTTCTGATTGAGGAAGAAGGTCTTAGGATGCCGTGGCGTACACAACTCTATAGAGTCGTGCATTGAAACGCAGGGGTTACTGATGCATGACAAGGAGGGCTGCCCGATAGCGAAGACGAGTAACGAGCCGGGCATGTATATGCATAGCTATGCACATACAATGTCCCATAACCATATGAGTGTAGTGTAAGCGAAGCCGCCTTGGGGGTCAGCAAGCAACTGTGCCATCGATAGAAGATGTTGGTGTGAAGTGGTGTGAAGTCATGCGCCAGTCGAAACGCCTCGTTGCACGGCCGCTTCTCCGGAAGTGCAGCCTCCGAATTCATTTACATGACAGTACAAGACACGTTTTTTCAGAGTGAAGGTAGCCACGACTTTGATAAATTCAACCACGCGGCGTGCCGCCAGTTCTCGAGGTACTCCGTCACTGGTCAATACGGTGAGCATGAGAGCAATACAGGGTACATCAGTGGTCTACGCCGAATATGGGTCGCCGCCGGCATCCGCGCGCCTGTTAGAGTTTCGATTCTTACGATAGGCGAGCAGTCAACAGGGTATTGATATGAGTGCAGCGCGACCGTGGACGTCGGGAGAAGGAGGAAGTGTGCCGTGCCGCGGCACGCGAGTACATCACCTTGACCCTAACCTTATCACTCGCAGGCACGTGTAACGATCTGCCGTGGCAGTGCGCCGCCGGCGACGGTTGCTCTCGACGATGAGCTTGTTGCTTGACTTGAATGTGTTCATCGACTCATACGCTTCTCAAGCAAGATATCCTCTGTTGTTGACAAGGTAGCTGAACAGCCGCGTGGCACATGTCTGACCATCACACTGTGATCTGAACGACGCACTGGCCCTGCGTGGCCGGCCGCGAGGTTGACTTGAGACCGTCGTCAGATTCATCCGCGATGAAAAGAGAAGCAGTGCTGTGAGCACAGCGGCTGTGTGCACTGACGACGATGACTACAGAGTTACATGGAGGTACTCAAGGCGCTCGTATCCCATCGCGGCCACCTGCGCCCGCCACCGTCGACAACTTCTCGCCGAAGAAGCTGTGATCCAGCTCAGTGGGCGCTCACTTGTCCTTGCATTAGCTCCGATTGGCGTCGACCGGACTCGCAAATAGCTGTATTTGCTAGGTAATATCGGTCTATGTTTGCCGCAGGTCTCGCCTTCACGTTGCATGGCCGTGCTTCTCGGCGTTGAAACCTGCTGAGCCTTGAGTGCATGTAGGCTCGGCAAGACTCGTTTACGCATCCGCGCCCGGGATGCAGCTCGGAAGAGAACAGCGGTACACGCTATATAAGGATTACCAGCTACCGGACAACATCCTCAGCAGCCACTCTAACGCCACTCGCCTTCTCTACTCTTCGCTCTTCTACCCACGTTCTACAACTCTTCTCTTCAACGCCATGAAGTTCATCGCCGTTACTCTCGCCTGCGTCGCCGCCGTCTTGGCCACCGACGTCCGCTACGACACCGCCTACGATAACGCCGACCAGTCTCTCGGGACAGTCGTCTGCTCAGACGGCTCCAACGGCCTACTCACCAAGGGTTTCTCCACCTTTGGCTCTCTACCCACCTTTCCCTACATTGGCGCCGCGCAGGCCATTGAGGGCTACAACTCCGCGAACTGTGGCAGCTGCTGGAAGCTCACATACGGCGGCGAGACCATCACGGTCACTGTCATTGACCACGCCGGAGACGGCTTCAACATTGCCGAGGAGTCGCTGAACGTGCTCACGAACGGCCAGGCCGAGCATGACGGCGTTATCAGCGCCACGGCGGTGGAAGTGGACATGAGCGAGTGCGGTATCCCGGCGTAGAGGAAGGGCACGGACATGACGGTCATACTTTGGGCTTCCTTGGACATGATGTTTCTTGATTATCTTTTCTCGGGTCTGTTATGGACTATATTTGGACGTTTTCCGCATTTACGAATATTTCGGTGCTGCTATCGTCGTTGGGGTTTCGTACGATCACGTACTGTCTTCGACAGGCTCACTCCTTGCACCTATAATAATTGCATTGCACCGGTTTACCCTATCCCTCGTGAGCCGTTCTGGGGCCCATCCAAGGGTCAGGACGGAAAACACGCGGAAAGACTGAACTCTCGTCTGATAGAAATACAAACTCACGTGGCCGCGTTTTTACTGCTTGTTCGCAGCTCGCGCTCGTGAGCGCCACTTCATTTCGACCGCCATGTTCCAGCTCTCTGTCATCAAAGTACTGTCCTCAGCACGTCAATGCAACAATATCTGACACGATAGCAGGATACGATACCAATACACCCCGTCAAGTTCGGTCTACCTCCAGAACAAGCTCTGATCGACGAACTCAACAAAAAGTATGCGAACCGCGTGCTGCATGATATTGGCCTCTGCGTATGCGTATTCGACCTCGCAGAAGTGAGCGAAGGGAAAGTCAGATATGGTGATGGATTCTTGTGGTATACTGGTGCGCATGACGAGCGGCTTCTGTGGCTGGAGGCTAACGGCGCTGAAGCATGCGCGTGAACAGTGACTTTCCGGCTCACGGTTTTCCGACCTTTCCCTTCGGAGCTCTTGCTCGCAAAAGTGAAGAGCTCGGATGAGGATGGGATCCATTGTGCGTGATCAGACCTGATACGGGTATATCGTACTTATCTTGACTCGAACAGTGTCCGTTGGCTTCTTCGACGACATGTACATCCCGGCACGATACCTGCCGCAACCGTCTGCATTGTAAGTGAATATGCACATCTACTGTGGTATTTTACTCACACGACATGCAGCGATCCCAATGAACGCGCACATTTCTGGTTGATGGGTGCAGAACCCGGCGCATCGACGCACGAGCTCCTCGATTCACCAACCGAAGAGCGCATGTACATTGACTCTGGAGAAGTTGTGCGCGTGCGCGTGGAGATCGACGAGTTTTATGACGACGAACCTGGACCACCCAAAGCGTCCGAGGGTGTTCGTGTTGTAGTTGAGAGGCGACGACCGCCGTACAAGATCACAGTACTCAGGACTTCTTTCCGCTTGGAATAACTGCTGACGATATCACAGTGCAGTATACAAGAACAAGGTCTTGGGCCTGTAGCATGGTGGCAAGAAGCGCAGATTGCCATGGAAGAAGGATGAAACCCAAGTATATCACTACATATAATATATCGCCCCGTATACAGCAGTCCGAGCAACCCTCGATTGTGTGAATCTAGTCCAGGAAGTCGACTGCTCTCTTCCTATTCCGCTGACTGTCAGCGACTGACCCATCCGTTGGTACTCGAGTCTGGAGCGCCTTGACGGCATCTGGTACGGGTTTCTCTACCCACATAGACTCATCGTCTGCGTCCTCCTTCTCCTTACGTCGTTTCTTCTTCCTATCCTTATCCTTGTCTTTCGCTTTGGACGGCGCGATCTGCAATCCGCCCTCGTCTTCCTCGTCGCCAAACGAGACGATCGCCTTGGCCTTCCTCTTCCGGTCCTTGTCTTTACCTTTCGCCGATTTCTCCTTGTCTTCTCCTTTGCGGATGTTGAATGTTGGCTTGAACGTGGCCAGGTCGACAGGCTCCTGGTTAACAGTTGGTGGCGATTTGGGTTCGTATGATGTGGAAGCTTCATTGGCGTCCGGCCGTAAGTGTGCCGGGGCAGCAGGGGCGGGCGCAGGCGCAGGTGTGTCAGCGACAGCGCTGGCTGTCGGCGGCGCCGTCGGACCGTTGGAAGGTGTCGTTGATGGAACATCCCGCATGACAATATCCTGAGCCGCCGGCTCATCTTCATCGTCACTCTCTTCATCGCTAGCAAAGATCGCCTTGAAGATATCCATGCTCGGCCGCACATAAGTCAGCGTATCCCGGCCCTGCGTTTCGTCCTCGCCTAGACCAACGTTATCCAAATCTCTTCGACCGTCTCCGGCATCCCCAACCCCGGACGTGCCGCTCGCTGGAATGTTGGACCCCACGGCGCCGGCGCCAGTCGCAGTAGCAAGATCCGCGTCCTTGAGCGCTTCTTCAGGTTTCCATGTGCTCGTGTTCGCACTTGCACTAGCTGGCGCGGGGACGCCGGGCATGGCCGTCTCAGTCGCAAGATCCGGATTGGGATCTTTGACGCCGAAGCGTTTACAGAGCAGGCGAGCGGGCTGCCAGGGAGTGACTTCGCGCGTGAGGGGACCGTACATTCCGAACTTGACGGCGTGCGCTCGTGAGCCTTCGACGGCGGCCTCCTCGTCTCGAGCGTGCTGCTCGCGTTCTTCTTCCTTCTTCCGCTTCTCAGCCTCCTTGCGCTTGATCTCTTCCTCGTCCTCATCAACGTACACGGGTTGATACAGACCCTCGACGGCCTTTGGACCCGAGTCGTACGCCGCAGCGCTCGTGAACCGGCTCGCCATCGCACCCGTGACGGGTTTGAACACCGCAGCGCTTTTCGCATAGTCCGATAGCTCTTTACGGAGGTCTGAGACGCTCTGACCGGGTAGCGCGCGCAATGGATCAGCGCCCTCCGCCTGGGAACGCAAGTAGGCAACATAACGCGCTTGCTTCGCTGGGTCGGATACATAAGGCATATAACCCTGTAAGGCAGCCGCGGCGATGTGCGCGGGCGTGAAGGCGTCAGGTATCGCCTCTGCAGGCGCCGCCGCCGCCGCCACTCCAGCAGGAGCTGCAGCATCCGCAGATTCCTTTGGCGCCTTGAGTCCTGCTGATGCCGATTGGATACGGTCACGGTCTTTCTGTGACAGGTAGTCGAAGATGGACCGGGATTCTCGCGGGAGGGGCGTCTCGCCGAGGATTGACCCGCGCTAGAGAAGCTGTCAGACGTCTATTTGGTAAAGAAGGATAGGATCAAGTGCTTACCTGGTCGGCGGACAAGTTGTTTCGCCATCCAGCGCTAGTTTGTGCGCCCGTCGTCTTGGCTGGACTGTCATTCTCCTTGCCCGCGTTCCAAACGCGTCGTGGGTCGGGCTTCCAACCTGCGGGTATTTCTGGGAGAGGGAACCTGCAGATGATCATGAGATAATAACCACAAGATGGTAAGTATCAGTCACCTCATGTCCTGAGTAACCGGGGCGGAAGCCAGTACGAAGCCATGGAGCACCGCCGACCCGTCCTTGAACGTTTGAGTAGCCGTTTTAGACTGTGTTCTTGTTGTCAGATTGTAGTAGGAAGCGGTGGGGGCGGTCAAACCTACAGTCTGAGCGGGTACCTGTAGCGTCCGCCCCTTACGACCCGAAAGCGTGATATTCTCATCAGGCTCGCGGTCCGCCGCATCGTAGGGCATGTACGTGCGCTCCGCCGGAAGACTCGTATCATACACGTCCAAGTCATCGTCGTCCGCCTCGTTGAGAGCGCCGAGCCCAAACCCAGCTAGTCCATAGCATCAGTATTCAACGCGCGATAAAGTAACAGAATGCGAGATCACACACATGACAACTTGGGACCTTTGCTCACACCGGCCGAGCGCCCTCCAAGCCCATCTCCGGCAACATATCCGAGCCCATGTGCGTCCTTTTTGCGAGGTAGAATAGGGGCGACTGTATCTCGCGGTGCGAACATGTGTTTCGTGACCTCTTCCCCTTCCTCTGCGGCCAATGCATCGATGTCAACGTCGTTCAGGGAACGTCCAGAGGCTAGTATATCTTGAATCTTCCGTTGTCGCCAAGTAATACGAGGTCCCACTCCCTGGCCTGGACGCCAACCCATCTTCCGAAGTAGAGTCATTCCGGGGGAATCTTCCGGAGGAGGCATAAGCGCCTGTTGAATGCTTTGTGCCATTGAACTTTGAGAAATGTATTAGTGTGTGGCATCAATGAAATGCATAAGTATACGGACTCATCAGTTCCCGCGGCGCTAGGTGCAGTACCAAAAGTATCTCGTTGTGCGTGTACGCCCTTCATGAGTTGCTCTTCACAATGCTCAGCCAAATCCTCCTCGTCCATGAAGTCTTCCGGCTTTGCCGCCTTCTGCTTAGCCCTTTCGCCACGCGAAGAGACAAAGTTCGATGGTGTCCATCCTAGATCAAAGTCGCATGAGGAAATTCACGTATAGTCGCAGCTAGGACATACCCTCTTTTGACCCTACGGTATTGAAGTATCCGGCCGAGAAACCACCAGTGAACGCGCCATGCAGTCGCCGTCGCCCCTTCTCATCCCGCACATCCTGCTTCCAGAGTGGCACATACTCTCCTGTATCTTTCGACTTCTCGAGTGGCGGGAGGGGAGTGCCAATCTACTGAAATGTTAACACAGCACCGGCCAGAGACAGACGTTCGATCACGCACCAGACAGAAGTTCTCAGTGGCTCGCCGGCTCGTATAGTCAATGCCCTGCTCATCTAACTTGCGCTTTAAACGACTAGAGCTCATATGATATAAAGTGGCTACAAAGGTGTAGAACGAGATGAAGGTCAAGCGCAAGTGCCACGCGCCACATGCGCACGAATGTCACAGTCGCTACAGCATTCTTCCCACCGCTACGGGCCTGTTCATTGACCACCACCACCGATACATTGTTCTAACAGGCATCTGTCGCAGCCGCTGTATGTAGTCTCTCTCCGCGGGCGTATTACTGTCATTTTGCCGTATGCCATGTCTACTTTTACTAGTATGCGTATCTGGTCCCGTTGCGGGGCCCGCCACCCTCCACACTATGCACCCACATGGAGCCACTTCACCGATCGAGGCGTATCCGCGTCCGACGGCAGACAGCTCTGCTTCCGCGTAACTTTCACGCCTCGTCACGCGTCATACCTTTCCTCGATGGAAAACCTAGGTCGATCTCCGAGTCTGAAAACAAGATGTAGTTTTTAGAAATATATTGGACCGGCGTACAAACAAGGCCAGGTCTGTGCAACTGAGAATTAGGGAAGATGTAATCGACTGATGGTGGTCAAGGCTACGATAGACAGGATGATCTCGGGAAGTACAGTTCGGCCGCACTCGCACCTCCATACGTCCACTTGGCCCCGCCGTGGATCGTACCGCGGAAAGTTCTTGTCAGGTCCGCCTCACCTGAGTCCTGCGACGCTGAGTCTGCCTAGGGGAGACTAGCCTCACCTCGCTCGTCATGGACCTGCATTCAAGGGCCAAGGTGCAGCTTGCCGTTCAAAATGCTGCGAGCGCAAGTAGAGAAGCCGGACAACAGCATCGTTGCCGTGAACTAGGGCCATCACAGCCTCTCTTTCAGGCGTTCTGCGGTCGCCTTGCGGTGATGTATGATGGGTTGTTGAATTCGAACTTATCGTGAGCGCACCTGAGCGCACCATCTGCCAGACGTCAGGAGAATACTCCGTCACTAGCTATACTTGGCAAAGAGTTCCCACCTCGAAAGACGGCGTTCTGGCATATGTAGCACTGGTCGAATAGCACAGAAAATGCCTCGAGTGCCACAAAACTTCACTCCACGTCGAATTCATTGAACGAGGTCCCCTCATCATCGAGAAGCCCGCATGCTTTGCGAATTAAATCTTTGCGTGCCTTGGCGAACTGCGCCAAGTGGTTGAAAGCATCAGGGAGTGGGGGCTCCAAATTAGGTAGCGCGAACGGAGCTCGGGGGGCGATAAGCGCGCTATGGACCCGAGTCGGCGGAAGCACTGTACGAGAGAGGGTATCGCTTGGCCACAGCTCGATGCACTCAATCATCTCTACGAGCAACGCCTATTCAACCTCGGATGGCAGAGTTCAGAGCAGTCACGGCGGTGAGAAGGGCGTCTGTGGGAAGGCACACGAGCAGAAGAGGGAAGGAGGCTCGCACACGGCGCGGTGTGTTTGGATGCGGCCAGCCTAGCGCTTCCATGCGGTCCATCATGCCGGCTTATCTCTGTCGCACGCACCGCAGTGCCTGGTGGCACAAGAAAAATGTATACGTTGATGGATATATGTATCCGGCTACGTAGGGTGCGCGAGGCCGTCCAGAGGTCATCCCCTTCTCCCCCGCAATCCTTCCCTCCAGGCTTCGCGCCTCCCACTCGTCCGCTCTGGTTTTAGCTACCCAGGCGTTGACTTGAGTCCATCCTGTCTTTCAATATGTCCAATCTACAAGAGAAGAAGTTCGAGGAGGAGGGAATCCATTACAACAACTCGGGATCCCTCGAGAAGGGCATCGAGCCGGGATACGCGGTCCCTGTCGGAGACGACGATGACGACCGCTACCACTTCAGCAGCGTTGACACGGATCTCGTGCAGCGCAAGCTCAAGCAGCGCCATGTTCAGATGTACGTCCCTCAGGAAACATACAGTGATTCCATGTACTGACTCACTTGTCAGGATTGCCGTGAGTTCTGACAGATATCGAGTTTCCTAACAGGGCTGACGGACTGCCTTATGAAAGATTGCGGGAACGCTTGGTATGTTGCACGTCGCTTTGCCTCTACGACTGCATCTAACCACACCGTGCAGGTACTGGTCTGTTTTTGGGTTCCGGCGCTGCCATTTCCGCCGCGGGCCCAGCAGGCGCTCTTCTTTCCTACATGATTATCGGTACCGTTGCCTACGCGTATGTCTCAGGCAAACTGCGCTGCATACAAATCCCGCTAATCAATTTGATCCCCAGGACACTATGCTCCGTCGGTGAGATGACCTCTTTGGCGCCCGTCTCCGGCACTTTCCCGCATTTCGGTATGTGTCTCGCACCGAATCAGTAACTTCACAGAGTTCCTGAAATGCTCTATTCAGCTGCTCGTTGGGTCGACCCTGCGTTCGGCTTCGCTGTTGGATGGAACTACTTCTACGCACAGGCCATCACAATGTACGCATGCAAGCGTTCACATGGTTTGGGAGCTGTATTGACATCCAATCACCAGCCCCGTCGAGGTCACTGCCGCACAGATTCTTTTGACGTTCTGGGATTCCAACCCTGCGCATGGTTGGGGTTACAACGTCGTGATCTGCTTCGGTGTCTGCATCATGAACATTTTGGGTGTCCGCTACTTTGGAGAGTCAGAGTTCTACTTCTCCATCATCAAGTGTGAGTGTTCCGCGTCCGGGTATCCTGATACGGCTGTACTGAAGTGATTCACAGTGATGCTTATCACTGGTCTCATCATCGGCGGTCTCGTCATTGACCTTGGTGGAGGCCCGAGCCATGATCGTCTTGGTTTCCGTTACTGGAACACGCCCGGCGCGTTCAATCGTGCCGGCCTTGTCGACAACCTGACGACCGATCGCTTTTTGGCCATCGTCTCGACGTTCGTGCAGGCTGCCTTCTCGTTCCAGGGTATGGAGCTTGTCGCGATTGCCGCGTCTGAGACGCAAAACCCTCGCCGCAACATTGCCAAGGCCGTGCGCCGCGTCTTCTGGCGTATTGCAATCTTCTATATCCTCGGTGTCATCATCTCTGGCATGCTTGTTGCGTACGACGACGAAGACCTCCTCAACAACGGTGACAGCGGCACTGCGACGGAGTCCCCTTACGTCATTGCTATTCAGCGCGCTGGCATTAGCGGTACGCTGTCTTGTTCTTCGCCTATCTGAACCGTATCTGACGAGACCTGCTAGCCCTTCCCTCGGTAATCAACGCGGCTATCTTCACCTCGGCGTTCTCCGCTGGCAACTCCTTCCTCTTCTGCTCCTCTCGTATCCTGTACGGCTTGGCCATTAGGGGACAAGCACCCAAGATCTTCACTTACACGACGAAGAACGGTCTTCCACTGCTCGCCGTTCTCTTCTGCTGCTGCTTCTCCCTGCTCTCCTTCATGAACCACTCTTCCGGCGCCACGAATGTGTTCAACTGGTTCGTGAACTTGTCCACCACGGCCGGATTCTTCACTTGGATGGCCATCAACTTGACATACATCCGCTTCTGTATGTATTTTTCTCTTCGTGCGATCGGAAGACGGCTGACCTTTCGCTCTACAGGGCAAGGGCATCGTAAGCAGGGTATCGACCGCAAGAAGCTCGTATACCACAGCATCCTCCAGCCCGGACTCGCCATCTGGGGTTTCTTCTGGACCACGATCTTCATCCTCATTGACGGCTTCGAAGTCTTTTTCCCCGGCCAATGGAATACGTCTGACTTCTTGGTGGCATACATCAACATTCCCTTATTCTTCGCACTCTTCATTGGCTGGAAGGTCATCAAGCGCACCAAATTCTGGCATACACATGAGATGGACTTCTGGAGGGTCAGTATCTTTCTTCGACTCTCAGCGTATCCGGCCTTGACTGATTGTTCTTCGACTCATTCCAGGGTATTCCCACATTGGAGGAGACGGAAGAGCCTGAGGTTCCACCTAAGAACTGGAGGGAGAAGATCTTCAATGCTCTGTTCTGAGCATTGTCGTCGTGTTCGGCTTGTTTGCTATCGATAAATGTACACTCCTCCTGCTGTTGTGCAGTAGTTCACGATACCTATTATGCAATTACATTGCACGGATCATAGACCAAGTACAGATAGCGGTGATTCGCGATCGGTGCATCGTCGACGGACTATTGTGGCCATGGTGACGCGTGTTGACGGTGTTGATCGGAAACACGGGGAAAGCCGCCTCGCGGCAGGTGCTCAAGCGCTCAAGCTCTTGTCCTCAACGTTCACGGAGTTGAGTATTACAGCTCAGCATAGCTACCCTCCCAAGCTGAGCGCTCTACCGAAATATTGTCTTGTGCGCCATTGTACTGGTCAGATTGTTATCGTCAGCAGACTAGCGCAGAAGTGATTTGACGTACCTCGTATTTGATCCTAGATAACTGCTGCGCGCTGCTCGCCGCTCGAGCATGAGGTTGCATTCATTACAATCCTCCGAGTGAGAAAGGACCTGAACGACATTCCCATTCCTCGCTTCGTATGCCGCCCTTTTCACGCAAGGACACCCTATACAGCGGCGTACAGACGGGCTTCGCGACCATATCCAGTTTCCATTGGCATCGGCGAACTTCTTCTGCCGCGGCAGTAACGGAGATCCTTTCTCTCGTCGCACTTCTGGTGATGACAACTGGGTCCGACAGCCGTACATCCGCCTGCCATCCTCGACTTTAGCTTGGGGCTAAACGTTTAAACTTGGCATTCCGAGATGGCCATGGTCAGGCGACAGTCCCGTCGCTGCTGTACCTCTGCGCGCCGTTGCGATCCTGTACCCCCGCGTTCTTTGGTGTATCGCGAGTCGGAACGCACATGATATCATGGAAGGGTCTCAAACACATTCCCAACCGATGATTTCTTTCACATATAAGGAACAGCCGTCTGTGGCCCGCGTGCCCAGAGTCTTTCGTGCTCTTCACTACCCGACCGCGGCGATATGCGCCGGCCTAACACTCCTTCCTTTGCTCTCCTTTTCTTCGGATACGCGGCTGCTCAGAATGCTACTACAGCCAGCACCGCTCTGTCCGCGACTTCTAGCGTCTCAGCTTCCGAGTCGTCTGCCTCTGCTTCGACCGTTCTGACGCCCACGACCACCGCGACTCTCTCGGCGATACCCTCTTTCAGTGACGCACCCTCGGCGATCTCTGTCACTTCTTTCACTCAGCCGTCCCCCAGCGGAATAGTGACGGACAGCAGTGTCGCCAGCATCCCGTCGACTTCTGCCGCCACTTTCGCCCCTTTTTCTCCCGTGCCCTCGCCGTCGACCGGAGCATCTATTCCGGGCGTTTTCCCTGCCACTTCGCCCGACAGCCCTCCGCCCGTCGAAAGCCCCGGGCTTGTCCCGGACTTCTCGGCAGCATGGGCCGCTGCGTGGTCCAAAGCGCAAGACAAGGTATGAAGGAGATGCGATGTGCGCCGATTGACTTCCGTTCGTAGTGCTCATTATGCTGTGTAGGTTGCGACATTGGACAACAAGCAGAAGACCAACCTCACTAGTGGACAGGTCGGGCTCACTGGTCGGTGTGTGGGGCAGACAGGTTCGGTACCGGGATTGCCAGATACTGGCCTTTGCCTGCAAGATGCGCCCATCGGTGTTCGAAACACAGACTTTGGTTAGTCTCGAAACTCCCGCTCTTCGCGCAATCGGCTGACAGGATGGTTCAGTAACTGCATTCCCTTCTGGATTCAACACAGCGGCAACGTACGTCTTCATCTATTCCTGTGACAGATCTGCTTACCGTCGTGTATCAGCTGGAGACGGTCTCTCTTCCGTGCGCGCGGCTTCGGCATCGGGGAAGAGCATCGCAACAAAGGTGTGAATGTCGCTCTAGGGCCGATGATGAACCTCCTGCGCACACCTCTCGCTGGAAGGAACTGGGAAGGCTTTGGCGCTGACCCGTATCTTGCTGGTACGTTCTGAAGTCATCCTTATATGCAACCGGAGCTCAGATCATTGCGCAGGCGAAGCGGCGTACGAGACCATTCTGGGAATGCAAGCAGCGGGAGTACAAGCCTGCGCGAAGCACTTGCTGCTCAAGTGAGCTTCACAGAGACCACATACGTTTTGGGCGCTGATCATCTTGCACAGCGAACAAGAAACGTTCCGCATGCTCATCTCATCTCAGGCTGATGATCGCACGACCCATGAGTTGTATCTCATTCCATTCATTCGTAGTGTCATGGCCGGTGTCACGGTACGATTCGGGTATCTCATTCGTTGCAGGGTACAGGCTCACACTCACGTAGAGTGTCATGTGCTCATACAATCAACTCAATGGCACATACGCGTGCGAGAATGATCGCCTTCTCAACGGCCTCCTCAAGAGTGAATTGGGCTTCCAGGTGCGTTCGTTTGAACGCGCAGGCTGCTATATGAGACTCAGCGACTAATAGGGCATGGTTATGTCGGACTGGCTAGCCACACACTCGACGATACAAGCCGTCAACTCTGGACTTGACATGGAAATGCCCTTTAACATATTCCTTGACGGCTTACTTCAACTCGCTATCGACTTCGGCTTTGTCGCTCAGTCTCGCTTGGATGACATGGCTACGCGCATTCTAGCGGGCTTCTACATGCTTGGCCAAGATAACTCGTCATACCCAGCACTGAACTTCAGTGAGCTTTCAGATCTTCGAATGCAGATGATGGAGCTCACGTTTGTATGCAGACCAAAATGACGTGACTGACGACGCCACCAACGAGCATATCGATGTTCAAAGCGATCATGACGTGATCGTCCGCGAGATCGCGACCTCGAGTATTGTGATGCTCAAGAATAACGGCGTTCTGCCGCTGCAGGCTCCGCGCAGTATGGCGGTTATTGGTATGCAATACTGCAAACGCTGCGCTTCACGCTCATAGGGTTTGACACTACTCACCTATCAGGTTCGGATGCCGGCCCTGCGCGCAACAAGGGGCCTAACGAGTTTTCTCTGCGCATGGGCGAAGATGGCATATTGGCGGAAGGCTATGGATCTGGGTCAGTCTATCTTGATCTCTTAAACTGGGTATGTCGCTGACATGGATGCCTTCAGGACTGTGTCCATGACATACCTTATCTCTGTGCGTCAGCCTTTCATCCAGGTGAACATGCTTCTGACCGTGAACGTAGCCATACGAGATCCTGCAATCCCGTGCTCGCTTGAACCGGACCACGTTCGAGTGGATGTGGGACGACAGTGATACTTCGGCGGCAGCTTCGTATGCTAAGCAGAAGGACGTCGCCATTGTATTCATACAAGCTGATGCTGGGGAGGGCTTCGACCGGTAACTACCTCCCTTGATACTTCATGTGCTGTGCTGATCCACACGGACAGTCTCAATATGGATCCCGACAACGGTGGAAATGCGCTTGTGAAGGCTGTCGCAGCGGTCAACAAGAACACAATCGTCGTGATCAACTCTGCCGACCCACTGATTCTCGACTCCTGGATCGACCTGGCGAATGTGTCCGCTGTGCTTTGGGCAGGCGTCTCTGGACCCGAGGCTGGGAATGCCATCGTCGATGTGCTGTACGGTGCGGCAAATCCGTAAGAGCTCTATGTTTCCAAATACCTGTTGGACTCCTTGCTCACTCTCTGACTTACAGATCGGGAAAGCTGCCGTTCACTATCGCGAAGGAGAAAAGCGACTACAACACGGCGATCGAGCTCATAACGGTCGATTATAAGGAGGCTCTCAATATCGATTACCGCCACTTCGATTCCGGTCAGCATGTCGACGTTATCTCGATGCTCACGGATGATTAACTGTCTTGTAGCTGGTATTGAACCACGCTTTGAGTTCGGCTTTGGTCTCAGTTACACGACATTCGCTTACAGTGACCTCTCCATTACCGCTGTCACTGGCGGGGAGGATAACGACGCTGACATCGAGGCGACCTGGGCAAGCGGCCAACCGACGCCGAACGGCGTGGGCTCTTCCACTGCCCTTTGGCTCCACCGACCGGTGTACCAGGTGTCTTTCACTGTCACAAACACAGGCGATGTTCCTGGGACTGAAGTCAGTCATTGCTACGCGCGTCTAGAATTTGAACTGACGCCGGCCGTTCGCAGATCGCCCAACTCTACCTCAACCATCCGTCTTCAGCTGGCGAGCCTCCCTCCATTCTCAAAGGGTTCGCCGACGTGACAGTCGTACCCGGCGCGAGTGAGACCGTCACATTACTTCTCTCACGCTTTGACCTGTCCGTCTGGGACGTCGTAAGCCAGTCGTGGGTCAAGCCATCCGGTAGTTATGGCATCACGATCGGCGCCAGCAGTCGTGATTCTCGTTTGAATGGAACGCTCTCTATTTAGTATTGTACTTGCTGTACGGACACTTCGCTCGTTTGAAATGTAACTCGGACTGCTCTCGCTTTTCTGAACCTTGAAAGATACCCGCCTGTTCGTCACAGTACGGCATCAGGGCTAACAACCATCCGGATACGTACGCGTTTCTTCGTGAAGCCATGTGATCGCGTCCAACCGACCGCGCCGACGGGCCGAAGACCGAAAGAACGACAGACGCCCGGCCGACACAATTGCGCCTTCTGTACGCGCCTCCGAACTATCGTAACTTGACCGCAACCCTCATTCCTTTCTCCGACTGCGACGCCGATGTGTAGGCAGAGCTCAACCGAACTTCCCGCTTTTCTGGGCGGCCTGACATGATACCACTCTCGGCATATGTGGATTGCTACCAACAGAACGCTGTCGCGCCATCCTGCCAACCGCGCAGAAGGACACGTTTATAGAGAATCAGGTGGCTAGCGTCCCGCGTGCTTGTAGAATTACTCGTACCCGATCGGACATGATTTTCTCTTGATCCACCCTGTCAAGATACCCGCCACTTCGTAATACTCGGTCAGCAGGGGCCGGATAGGTAGCGCCTTGGGCGGGATTGACAGAGTTTAAAGCCGCCATGTTGTCGGCAGAAGCAGAGAAGATCTGAGGACGATGTCCGGAGTGGGCGCACAGCTCGAAAGCCTTGGTTTGATGGGCTGGTATTGGAAGCGAGAGGCTCGATATTGGCCATTGAGTCGATCAATTACAAGCGCTGATCGTGTCCATGTTGGCGTGCAGACAGCTTTGAAGCTTGAAGCTTGACCAGATGATGTATTTGTACTGTTTCCTCCACAATGTGCTCCCCAGTACGTTGGTCTTTTCCTGGTAGCGTTCTCTCGCGCTCGTCGTCTTCAAGGCACGGAGTATCCTCGGCCGCCTTCTAAACAGGATTCTTTGAAGTCCTGTGACGGGATGTTCATATCTACTCCGGGACTCCAAGCTGCTTCTCTGGCCACCCGATGGTGATGTGCGCGCTCGTATATAACCGACATGTCGTCAACCCGGCATGCCGCAGCTGCAAGTCATCGAGCTTGCGCTTAAAAGGTTGACATCGCGCTTTCCCCGCGTTTCTACCCCGCAGGATGCGCTCCTCACTCCTGCTCATCGCCCTCGCTGGCGTTCGCGGGCTTGCTGCCGAGTCCGACTCGACCTACCTCACTTCGGCAGCTTCGGCAGCTTCATCTCATCACGCCAGCTCGTCGGGTGCTACCGCTGCCACTTCTGCTACAGGACGCAGCAGCGTCGCGTCTTCCATCGCGCACTCGACGTCTGCGGTCGCGACTTCATCATCGGCAGCGCATACATTCTCTGAGTCGACCACCGCCCCCGCCATCTCCGGTTCGGGTAACAGCACTGGCTCTGCCTTTCCAACCCCGACCGGCAATGCCACTGCATCTGGATCATACGAGCCATTCCCTGTGCCATCTTCCGAGCCTGCCATCCCGGGCGTGTATCCAGCCACTCAGCCCAAGGCGCCACCTCCTGTCGAGAGTCCTTTTGTGGTGCCCGACTTCGCTCCAGCATGGGCGGCAGCACACAAGAAGGCCGCGGCTCTTGTAAGTCCCTTGATCTTCTCCCCGCCCATAAGCGCTTAGGCGTTCTCGGCCGCTTTTTGACGGGAAACGCTAATGTCGATGCATCGCCACAGGTTGCGCAGATGACACTCGAGCAGAAGGTGAACGTCACTACGGGTGTGGGCTGGGAAGGCGGGCGCTGCGTCGGCAACACGCCTGCTATCCCAGAAGTCGGTTACCCGTCCATTTGCTTGGAGGACTCTCCGATCGGCGTCCGTGACGCTGACTTCGTCACGGCTTTCCCTGCAGGCATCAACGCGGCCACGACGTGCGTGCTCCTTGACATTGACAACCTTCATGTCTGACATTTCTTACGTAGGTGGTCGCGCTCCCTCATTCGCGCGCGGGGCTTGGCCATGGGTCAGGAACATGTGGGCAAGGGCGTCCATGTAGCACTTGGCCCTATGATGAACCTTGGGCGTGACGCTCAAGGTGGACGCAACTGGGAGGGTTTTGGAGCCGTAAGATTGCCTACCCATTGTGAGGGGACTCCGATGCTAATTCGCACTGCTCCAATAGGATCCCTATCTTGCGGGCGAGGCAGCGTATGAGACGATCCTGGGCATGCAGGAAGCTGGAGTACAAGCCTGCGCAAAACACTATATCCTGAAGTACGTCATCAGTCTGAACTCGTACATATTGACGCTGAATGATGTCGCAGCGAGCAAGAGAACCAGCGCACGGAAGAGACCTCCAACACAGATGACCGCACCATCCATGAGCTATATGCGCTCCCTTTCCTGCGCTCCGTCATGGCTGGCGTTGCCAGCGTCATGTGCTCCTATAACGCGGCAAACGGAACGTATGCGTGTGAGAACGATCGCACGCTCAACCAAATTCTCAAGGAAGAATATGGTTTCCAGGGTCAGTCTCTGTGATCTGTGGTCCATACAGACAGCTCACGAGTTAACGAAGGGTACGTCATGAGCGACTGGAGCGCAACGCACTCTACGGTACCTGCAGCCAACAACGGACTCGACATGACCATGCCAGGCGACATCACGTTCAACTCTGGCACATCCTACTTCGGCGCCAACCTCACGGCCGCTGTCGAAGCTGGAGAGGTCCCTGAAGGTCGTGTGGATGATATGGCTGAGCGTATCATCGCTGCTTGGTATCTGCTTGGCCAGGACAGCGGTTTCCCTGAGACAAACTTCAGTGAGCAATATTCATTGCCTCCGCGATACCTTGCTCATCTACTTTTCTAAGACGCGTTCGATCCTCTCGACGAAGCTACCAACGAACACGTCGATGTACAGGATGACCACGACGAGCTTGTACGCGAGATCGGCGGCGCCAGCATCGTACTTCTGAAGAACACCGATGGCGCTCTGCCGCTCAAGAAGCCCCGTACACTTGCTATAATCGGTAATTCGATCCTATGTCGCTACTCTAATCGATAGACTGATACCTTCTCCAGGATCTGATGCTCGTCCCGGTATCACTGGCCCAGACGAGTTCTCCGATCTTGGCGGCGTCGACGGCATCCTCGCTATGGGATGGGGCTCTGGCACTGCAAACCTGACCTACCTCATTTCGCCGTACGAGGCGTTGCAGGCGCGTGCACGCAAGGGTCGCACCTCGTTCTTCTGGAGCTTCGACGACTACAACCTGCTCAACGCGCAGGTCATCGCGAACAAGAAGGATGCCGCTATCGTGTTCGTCCAGAGTGACTCAGGCGAGGGCTACATCACTGTCGACGGGAACGCTGGAGATCGGTATGTCCACTCTATCTCATCTGGGACGGACGCTTAGCTCACACACGCCCTACAGCAAGAATATGACTGCTTGGCACAACGGCGATCAACTCGTTCAGGCCGTAGCCTCCATCAACCCGAACACGATTGTCGTCGTGCACTCAGTCGGCCCTCTGATCCTCGAGCCGTGGATCGAGAACCCGAACGTCACTGCTGTTCTCTGGGCAGGTGTCTCCGGTCCTGAGACTGGTAACGCCGTCACCGACGTCATCTACGGCGCTGTCAACCCCAGCGGACATCTTCCGTACACCATCGCCAAGGCTGTCGACGATTACCCGGCGCAGATTGTGGAGGGCAACACCTTCTTGACCGTTGACTACACCGAGGGTCTTTTCATCGACTACCGCCACTTCGATCAGGTTTGTCACGTGGTCTCGTCCACCTTGTGAGCAATACTGATACGGTTCACATCAGGCTGACATCGAGCCGCGCTTCGAGTTTGGCTTTGGATTGTCGTACACCAACTTCAGCTTCTCGGATCTCTCGATTTCGAAGGTCAGCGGCGGTGAGGACCCTGACTCCGAGGAAGAGGCCGCATGGGCCGCAGGCGAGTCGAGCCCGCTCGTAGATGGACGTAGCGCCGCGCTGTGGCTGCACCGCCCACTCATCAACGTGAGCTTCAAGGTCAAGAACACGGGCGACGTTAAGGGTACCGAGGTACGTTCAAGCGGTTGTCCAGGCGGATGTACGCTTACTGACATTGTACCTCACACAGATCCCTCAGCTTTACCTCCACCACGAAGCCTCTGCCAATGAGCCGCCGAGCATCCTCAAGGGCTTCTCGGACGTGACCCTCGAGCCCGGCGCGAGCAAGACCGTGAAGTTGCAGCTCAACCGCTTCGACTTGTCCGTGTGGGACGTCGTTGGTCAGAGTTGGGTGCGCCCGAGTGAGGACTCGAAGTGGGGCATTAGCATCGGCGCCAGCTCGCGCGACTTCAGGCTGAACGGTACGATTACCCTCTGACGGTCACATTCCGCAAGCAAAATAGACGTACTTTCAAACGCTTTTTCTGTTGACGACTCTCAGGTTCTTCTTCTTGTCACTCCTTGTATACCCTCAGGTCAATGTGTCTAGATGAGCCCTTACTGTCTTTCATTGCATGATATCTCTATATTTTTCTCGTGAAAGTCTATCATTAATTGTAGTGGGAACTTCGCTCACTGCAAAGTTTCGGGAATTGCCGGTTGGCGCGGGTCGCCTGCCGCAGTGCCGCCGCGCGCCGCAGCAAGCTTGTCCTGTGCCCCCATGTTGCGATCGGCTTCCCACCGAGGACACCCACATTCTACCATGCCGGCCTGCGGATACATACCACGCGCTATCGTGACTATGAGGGCGTGATTGGATCGCTCGGAGACTCCCTCGCCACGACGATGAAGAGCATAGTTCCGAATGTCGTTCCGCCTTACACTCCACCGTTCCCCTCGCATCACGTCTGTATGCGGAAGAAGACACCATGCACCATCTACCATCAGCGTATACTCTTTCAGTGATTCGCTGGGAACATGGAGCGTGAAATTGCTTTCCTTCAAGGACACAGAGGCGTCTACAGACGTGATGTGGCGGTGACGGGAGCAAATCTCGACGGTTATCGATATCTCTGGCTCAACCTCCTAGCTGATCCTCTTCGAAGTCGTACGTCGAGAATGTCATTTGCAACACGTAGCAATGTTGCAAGTAAAGAGGACATCGAACGGGATCCCAATATTGAAACCCTTTTTCCTAGTTCCATTGACAATGGGCACGTCTCAGAGGATATAGCAACCATCGGAACTGTACTTCATATCTCTCCTATCGAGCCTTCTCATCATTACAGTACCGGCTACAGCTCTGTTCGCGCTTAAAAGAAGCATTGATTCTCCTGAAAAGTTCACAGATCATTACATCGCCGAAACGGTCGAACCTTTCTATGAAGTGATGTCGCGTGTTGGCCACATAGGATGTACCGGAAAGAGTGCTCTTTCACCAATCGCGGGAGATGAGGTTACCATAACTGGGACGAGTCTGGCCTGCTGGTCTGTAGGCACTGATGATGCATGTCTCCATTTGGATTGTGCTCGTCTATCTGGATCTTCCTCCGTTGGCGACGTTCATCTCCGATCTGGTAACTGGAACGGGCTTGCTTTCAGTATGTCGATACGCTGGGAGGGCCAGGAATGGCTCTACAGTACACGCGGGCTAGTATCCAAGTATAAATGGCTCTGGATGGATGGTCTCCTAGAACTCCAGCTCACTGGCTACCTTTGCGACAAACACATACGGCCTCTCGCCCTTCCATCTCCCTCAGCCCATACCTCACACGATGGCAAATGTACCGGTGAGTCCTCCTTCGCCGCTCATCACGGATTGTGAGCTCACCGAGTCGCACAGGTCCCGTCGAACGATTTTCTGACCATAGGCTACGTCGCCATGAGCGTCCCCGGCCACGCCTTCACGCTCTTCAACATCTACATCCAAACTACAGACTGTCGCCAGATGCGCATGCACTTCTGTCCGAGAGATCAAAGTTACCGTTATGTGACGGCGAACGGCAAACTCACGGACCGCGCTGTGTGTTACAGACCGAACATTAGGCGCGGGACGGTCGTGCCGCAGACGATATGGCAGCCGGCGCAGGCGGGCGATGTGCAAAGACACGTCGCGGGCTTGCTGTGGCCGATATTCTTTGTGAGGGCGAACGACGTACTAGGTGCCACCGTGGCACAGGTCTCGACAGCCAATAGTGCGCCCAGCGATCTCTTAGATTTCGGGAATATCGCACCTCTTGGTGGTCTGTCTACTACGACGCTCTGTCTGAAAGTGCGTTGACTGTTTGCCTTCATCGGCGTTTCTAATGCTGAAGGTCTCGCTGTGCAGTGGCCCGGGTACCCTGAGCATAAGAAGCAAGTGGAGACCAGGAACACGACGGGCTTCATCACAGTAGCCAAGCTCCTTGAGCGTATAGCTAAGTTCATGGAGAAATTCATCCAGGCAAGTGGACCGATGCTGTATGAAGAGAAAGGTCAATAATGCGGCAGTATATACATAGGATGCACGCAACCATCGTAACGACACTAACTGGCGAGTCGGTCCGGGAGGGATGATCAATGAGCATAATATTCGTATCGTAGGGCTCATGCACGTCTCGAGAGGAGTGTGGCAACCGAGTAAGTGGTTGAGTGCGAGTTGCATGACGGGTTGACTAATTTTGATGTATAGTTCTACAGCTCGATGGCCTGACCTTCACCTAAACAAGCTCGGGGGAATGGGAGATGGGAATTGGCCGGGTGTCTCGGGTTTCGCACTTTGGCGTGTGCATTAGTTGACTATTATGATTCACGACGGAAACCGCAGAGTGTAGTGCACATCAGTATCGAACATGGTATGAGTTATTCAATTAGACGGTTGAGGGAGGGCCTGTGCACGGGTAACAGAGTAGATCAGAGCAATCATGTCAATGTCACGGCGTCTATCGACAGCTTTGGACCCTGTACCCAACGCGTCAATACACCAAGTCGCTAGAACGTGTTATTCGATCTGATAATCATCCCACTGCGTAGTTACGCATGTGCTGCCCATCTAGGCTGACCTAGCATGGTCGATGGCAAGTGTATGGAGCAGCGCGTTGGGTAAGACCATGTAGCCTGGTCAGGGTACCAGTCGCGAGCCCTTCACGCTGTGTTGTAGATAATGTAGTGAACGTATCCCTAGTGGCGTCCCGCATCGTATAGCAGTGAACACCGCCCGCCGCCCATTCGGGAAGCGCGGATAGACGGAGATGGTGGTGGTGGTGGGCAGAGAGCAAGTTACGGGTCACATGCAAGAACGCCCAACTGCGCAGCCCGAGGAGAGAGCGATCGCGGAGGGAGAGTTGTCCTGAGATGTCAACGACGACCGCGATGGCCGGCGGGACGGAAACAGCGAACGAGGACCTGCAATCGCTCTACAACGCCGTCCTGCAGGGATTCGCGAACGAGGACCCCGACGCGCAGTCCACGACCTCCTCCCCGCGGACCACACAGCTGATGGCAAGTCCAGCCGGCGGGAGAAGGCCCTTGCCCGCGGTCCCGAGGGTCGCGCAGAGCGTGTATGACAGCATACCGCCCCCGCCGCCCATGCCGACCAATAAGCGCTACGCGATGCCCGAGCCCGCGCCCGCTCCTGCGCCCGGATATTCGGCGCCGAGCACGACGATGACCAGTAACGGCCAGAACGGCTTTAGACGCGGACCAAGCTTTCGTCCTCCTGGTGCAGGTATATCTTCACATTACTTCTAATATACGTATACTGATTGTTATGTTTGTATCAGGAGCATCACGGATACCCGGCAGCAACGAGATCCTGGACTCGCCCGTCCCCGCATCGCCCCCTCCGCCCCGCGCAACCTCGTCCTCCTCCTCCAGCTCCTACTTCCCAAACGACATCAAACAGTCACAATTATACAGCACGTCACACCACTCGATGCCCACGCCCCAACCCGCGCAGTCGTCACTGGCGCCGCCACAGTCGGACCTGAGACAGGTGCCGTCGAGCGAGGATATTCTGGCGTCGGGAAGGGGAGGGTTCGTCAGGAGACTGTCGACCGAGAGCGACGGTTCGAGACTCATGCAGGGCGCGGGCGTGGACCGCAATTCGAGCACGGGCTCGAGCAGGACGGGGACCACGGGCACGGGCACGCTCACGAGGAACCAGACGACGTCGACGTTCGCATCCTCCAGAAGCCCCGCGGTCTCTACGCCCGATACGTCCGAGTTCGGGTACCCCATCGACTACAAGGCGCGATACACCCCGCCCGCACCCGCTCCGGCACCCGTGCCGCCGGCTGTCACGACGCCGACGTCTCAACAATCCAATCAACACTCGCCTAGCGTCTCCATCTCTGTTCCCTCCCCAGAGGCCGGCTCCTCGGGTCACAGGAACAACAGACTGGTAGACCAAATAGCGCATATGAAAACGCTGGCCGATCCTTATGAGCCGCCTGGGTCATCGTACAATGGCGATGCCCTGCTCGACGACGAGGATGCTATCTCATTCGACGATCTCCCGTCCGTCTCGGACGATATATCCGCATTCGTCAACTTTGCTTTGCTTTCCAATATCGCGGTGTGGCTGCGCGATGCTGTACCCCGAGGAACGCATGTCAAGGGTTCTATTCCTTATCCACGAGCGTTTACTGGAAAGGATATTGTGTCAGCGCTCGCGGGACAGGTCAGGAGGGAGTTGAATGGGATTGGAGCGGGGAGTCAGGGCGAGAGGGAAGAGCGATGGCTGGCTTTGCAGCTTGCGAGGTCATTGCAGAGTCAGCTATTCTTCTACGAGGTCGAGTGGGGAGGCAAGGCGTTGAGGGACGGAGTCGAGGACGTCTACATGTTCCTTGACGAGGGAGGGGACGATTCGGCCAGGGAAGAGCTGCCCACCGGCGTCGTAACCGTGCTTACACGGTGCTATGCGCCTTCATGTATCGACGGCTCTCCATGCTACTCCTTCGCTTGTCCGAGGCGCCCGAGAGCGGGTCTGGCACCGCCACCGCCGCCATCGGGTGTAGTGGAAATAGCCGACGAAGAGAGATCGGGAAGCGACGAGAGGGAATGGGCGGAGCAGGTAGACGGAGAGGTGTTGAGGAGTCTACCGAAGTCTGAGGTCGCTCGACAAACGATCATCCACAAGTTGATCACTAAAGAGGCGGGATATGTCCGCGATCTCGAGGTATGCGCATTCTCTACTATCATCACGTAGCGAGGGTGTACTAATGTATATGTGCAGCTCATCGACACACTCTTCGTCCGACCCATCCGATACGCCAGCCCACCCGTATTCCCGACACCAACAGAGCTCACATCCTTCCTGGACGACGTCTTCGGTGCTTTACCGCCTCTTCTTGCGGCCAACAGGCGGTTACTGGACATGATGAACGTCCGGCAGCGCGAACACTCCCTCGGTAAGCTTCGATTGTGAAGAGCCGAAAATAGAACAGAAACGCTGATCGCGCGTGCGTCGTGTAGTGATCAAGCGCATCGGCGACGTCCTGCTCGAAGCAGCCACAGAGTTCAGGACATGTTACCCGCGTTACGTCGCTGCTCTCCCTTGGGCCGAGAAGCGCGTCAAAGAGGAGTGCGAGCGCAACCACGACCTTCGCCTTCTACTTGACGTGCGTTTTCGCCTCTGCTCATCATCTACGTCGCTAACGCAGTTGAGTAGCAATGCCTCCGCTCACCCGAAGCGCGCCGTCTGGACCTGAAGACCTTCCTCAACCGACCCGCTGAGCACCTGGCGAAGTACGAGCTCACGCTCGATGCGATCGCCAAAGAGACCGTGGACGGCAATCCTGATCTGGAGTACCTCCGAGAAGCTGGCGCCGCGTTCAAGAACTTGCAAGGTGTATGCTCACTCCAAGTACGTTTTCCCCTTTCTTCGACTTTTCTATCATCAAGGCTCATATGTGTGCGTAGGCATGGCAACATGCGATGGGTCGTGGTCCCCAGGGCAAACACGAGTGGCACAACCTCTTGTCGGAAGAAGCTAGGGCGAAGATCGACAAGAAGGAGCAGAAGCGGCAGAGTATCATCTTTGAGCTTATCAAGGGTGAGATGCAGTATGTTCGCGATCTCGAGAACATGGACAAGGTGCGCGCTTCCACTTGCAGCTTTGGCACAATAGTTCTAACGCTGGATGGGGATTGATAGATGTACGTGCGGCCGCTGCTCGAGGCGGACCCGCCGATCATTCCGAGGGACAAGGTCGACGCGTTCGTGAGAAAGGTGTTCAACAACTTCCTCCAACTGCACGCGCATCATCGGCGTCTACTCGAGCGTCTGCACGCAATACAAGCGGACGAACATCCCGTTATCCACTCCGGTACGTTTTGAAGAGCCGCAGTAGAACATGGTGCTAACTGTGTTCTTACAGTGACCGCCGCTGTCTTCGACGCCGCGCTCAACTGGCGCGAGGCCTACATGGAGTACATCACCAACTACCCCATCGCCGAATTCAACATCGTCTCCGAGATGGCCTCCAACCCCGCCTTCAAAGAGTTCGTCGAGCAATGCACGCGGCACCCGGACGCCAACCGTCTCGACATGAAAAACTTCGTGAACCGTCCCATCCCGCGCTTGGCCCGCTACGAGCTCCTGCTCAAGGGTATCGCCGACGCTTCGCCCGAAGGCCACGAAGACCGCGAGAGCATCCCGCATGTTATCGAGGTTATCAAGGCGCTGTTGAAGGAGACGCAGCCGGGCGTCGCCAGTGCGGAGCAGAAGGTCGAGCTGTGGAAGTATAACGCCAACTTGGTGTTCAAGCCGGGGGAATACGTCGATCTGGATCTGCTGGATGATAATAGGAGCTTGATCCATGCGGGCAAGTTGTTGAGGCAGCCGGATACGGGCTTCGATAGGTATGGGTGGAGCGAACTGTTCGTGCTCTTGTTCGACAACTACCGTGCGTGACTTGTCTTCTCTGTGAATTTTGATCGTGTACTGATGTTGTTGTAGTGGTCATGACCAAGCCGAAGGAGCGTGACGGCGTGACGAAGTACCACGTCACCCGACACCCCATCCCGCTCGAGCTACTCACTGTCACGAACTTCACCGATCCACCAACCCAGCGCGGCGCTGGTCTCCTGCGCTTCGGCAAATCCGGAGGTGGCTCCTTGGGCGGCGCACATCCGGGCGATTCTCCGCTCCCAACACCCGGCTCCGGACCATCACCCGACGCAGCCACCGACTCGCGCGTCGTCTACCCGTGCACAATACATCACACAGGCCGTCTTGGTGGGCTGTACGTGCTATATGCGGAGAGCGCCAGTGCACGCGGGGAGTGGAAGGAGAAGTTGGCTGAGGCGCAGGGGTTGAGGAAGGTCGTGCAGGAGGCGAACAAGGTGTTCGAGGTCGAAACGCTCAGCATTGATACCTTCCTCGTGCCGTCCTTCGTCGGCGCGGGCACGGGCGCCAACTCGCCCTGGAACGCCGACGGTCAAGTTACAGGCCAGGTCACGTGCAGCGTGCCCTTCACCACTGCCGACGGCCGCGCGCTCGTGGCGGTCGGATGCGCCGAGGGCGTGTGGATCGGCTTCCGCCACGACGCGCGGAGTATGCGGAGGGTATTGAGTCTCAAGATGGTCACGCAGTGCGCGATGCTCGAGGAGTTCGGCATCTTCTTGGTACTCGCGGACAAATCGCTCTTCGCGTACCATATCGAGGCGCTCGTCCCGTCTAGCCCGCATTTGGCCAATACCGCGCAAACGGCGCAGAAGCTCAACGGGAACAAGGACGTACACTTCTTCAGCGTCGGCAAGCTGGGCGAACGCACGTTGGTCATCTATATGAAGAAGAAGGGCATGGACTCGATCTTCCGTGTCCTCGAGCCCGTCGTGGACAAGATCAACGAGCGTGCGAAACAGCCCGTCAGCTTCGGATCACGGCTTGGCTTCAGGCAGGCGAGGAGCGACTGGTTCAGGGTCTACAAGGACTTCTTCCTGCCCAGCGAGTCTTACGACTTGATCTTCCTCAAGGCGCGCATTGCGGTGCTGTGCACGAAGGGATTCGAGATCATGGATCTCACGGATTTCAAGAGCGTCACGATCCCACAACGCGATGATGCAAAGTACGAGAAGTTGGCGAAGAGGTGTGATTCGTGTAGGCCAATGGGGATGTTCAGGACGAGCGAGAACGAGTTCTTGCTCTGCTACGACGGTGCGTCATCTCACTATCTCTCACATAAATACCTGCTGATCTGTGTTGTGTTGTAGAGTTCGGCCTATTCGTGAACCGCCACGGTGACCCTCTTCGCGACAAGCCGCTCATCGAATGGGAGGGCACAGCCGAACGCGTAGCCTGGCACCCACCATACATCCTCATCTTCGACTCCCGCTTCATCGAAGTCCGCACCGTCGAAACCGGCCGGCTAGCCCAGATCATCCAGGGCGAAGACGTCCGCGCGATCTGGGACGGCCGCGGCACCTCACAGCCTCCCCCGCCCTTCCCACGCGAAGGCCAGCAATGGCACGAAGTCTTCGGGCTCGAAACGCGGATACATGGTGTGATGCGCGCGCCACCGCCTGAGCCTGCGCCGGGACAGCTCGCTGCGAGGAGACCGCTCGTTGCGCAGCATGTGTTCGAGCTGGTGCCGACTATACCGCTGTATGTGCCCGAGAGGCTGGGTAGTCCTACGCCGCAGCATACGGGATATGGGGGCGGGTATACGTCGAATTCGCCGCCGGGGAGCCCGAGGATGAGTTCGGTTAGCGCGCAGTGGCGATGAGGGTAGAATGTGTCGGCTGTAGAGCGGACGTGAACGAGCGCCTGGGGCGTCTTTGTGGATGGATCGGATGTGGATAGAGGCAGATGACGGACTGGTATAGGTGATCCTAATGAGTTATTCTTCGTGTTCGTGTTCTAGTTTTGGTGTATCTACGTACGCTTGTATACCTCGTGTTTGCGTTCGTGAATTCACACTTTCGCTTTTGTTTCCATTCCTACGAGTAGATATAGAATCAACGTAGACGGCAAGTGCGATATTCCGAGGCTTAGCAAAAGGTAACATTTGACTTGTGAGAGTATAGTTCACCAAGTCATGATACGCTGATATCTTCATACAGGGGATAGAGGCCTCCCCGAAAGCTGGTCACTGGTCTTTCGATGGAAGAAGCATAGTTGGGCAACACGAGAACGTGATGATGGCGCCTAAGAGTGTCCTAAGCCTAGGGCAATGTGTTGAAGTAGTCGAGCTGGAGGACTGTGGATGGCGTCAGCGTGGATACTGCTGGTGTCAGGGTATCGTACGTACTGGGCTGCCAGACACCCCTCGAAACCTGCATAAGCCCCACGATGTATATGTTATCGATGCCGATGAATCCTGGTCCTACTCGCCAGGGCCCTTGCCCTTCCTGAATCGGCTGATTAGCCATCTCCTGTAAGTTATGTGAGACTCTCGTAGTATGGCGAACAGACGTGAAGCGGCTAAACTTGTATGAAACGCGCCACAAAGTTGGCGACTCGCTCAACCAGCTTCCACATCGTGATGGGCGAGCCTGAAGCGTTCTTGAGCTCGACCTGCTTTTTGAACTCGGTATAGCCGGGCCACTACATGGTCCTTGATCAGCTCCCAGTGTAATGTACCCGACGATTCGTGATCCAACTGGCGACCTACCCTAAGACAGAAGTGAGTGTTAGCCCGCCCGCCGAGGGGTGCCGGTGCAGTGGGAAAGTATATGCCTGGCGGGGCTCTGAGGTTAGCGTCCAGAACCTGCGACGTTTTGATGCCTATGACATGATCTGTCCCGATGAAGTAGACGGGTGGGAGGAGCTCGGCATCATCAACATGTCGCTGTACGTCTCCCCGCTGCAGAGGTTGCCAAATAGTCTGCGGTACAACAGTTCCCTTCTTGTCGGGTTTGTAACACATGGGCGTATCAAACAGCTTGAGGTCGTCCTGGTCTATGAGCAAGCGACGGTAGCTATTGTCCATCGGGTGGAAGTGGACTTTGATGAGACGGCAGTCAGCGCTGCGAGTGTAGATGTTGAATAGTCTCTCCGCATTCGACTTGTCAGGCCCAATGGACATGGCGACGTAGCCGAGAGTGAGGAACTCGTTGGAAGGTTGCTGTATGTAGTGATGTAAGCCCAGGAAATGCACAGAGAACCAAAAGGTAGACGTGCGGGGTCCTGCGACGCAGCCTGGTCGTCCGTTGCAAGTTGAGCTTCAGGAGAGTTAGACATGACGAAGAGGGATGAAAGGGTGTACTGATAGGTGAGCCAAGGTCTGCAGTTGTCAAGTGGTGAATGTCAGCTTTTATAGAAAGACAAGACATGTGTAGAGGTGAGCTACAGCTGTAGCATCGCGATGCGTCGACATATCGACTGCAATTCCCGTCAGCCACTGGATAGCCAGACGAGAACGTCAGTGGCCTCATTGAAGCACCACCTAGATAGGTGAATGGACTGTAGTACAGCCAAGCAAGAACACTCGATATCCCTGAATAGCGATAGACCACACCGTCTGTAGTCGAAGAGCGCTGTTGGACCTAAACTCCCGCTACAACACACGAGGTATGGTCAATAGAATTGACAGGTGGCATTGGCAGTCCCTGGTCATACTGGAGATATCTTCATCTAATATAGTAGGAATGTAGCAACGCATGTATCCGCGATAAGGAGCCGTCGCGCCCAAGGTCCGTAGCGGTCCTAGTACCATGCAAACTCACAACCACGGTTGTGATTCAAGATTATTATGGGTGCCGCCAGATTGGTCCGAACTTTGATATGGATCTTGTGCCGATGAGCATCGCTCAATGAGATGGAGCATTTGCCTTGAAGTGTCGCCAATGGCTTGTAGGTCGATGGTCATTGGGAACTTGTTGCGTTGCGTTATCGGCAGCCGGTATAGTCGAGGTCCTCGCCGCACGGCGGCCGGCTATGGCTTCCGGGTCCGTCTACACACCGCGTGTCAGTGATCCTCTACACGAGATATGAATCCGTAGAGCGCCTATCTGCATGTAGAGACATAGCCAATACGGATAGAGAACGAAGGTCGAGTCGGAAGCGGAGCTGTTCTTCGAACGAGTCGACGACGATCCCAATCAACGTGAGGCAGAGTCTTGCCGACAAAGAGTCTAGACACCTTGTGAATAGAGAAGACACTTCACCCTAGCGTGAGGTATTTTCATATAGCCAGGGAGGTGGGGGTCAGTGCCCCAGGCAAGGATGGACGTGAGTATACTGAGCCAGTTGCGAGAAACGGTCCGACAGCCGCGCGGGCGATGCGGTGCACGTTGGCAGGCCGAAAGCCTCTGACACGCGTGCTTTTGTGCCGTGGCCCGTAAGTGCAAGCCACTCATGCATTCAGAGTATTGGCTTTGGTCCTGATGGTTGTCCGACATCGTGGTAGCTAACTAAGTTGAGTACAACTCACGTTGCACGATGCTTGAATATCGCGAACCCGTGACTTTCGCTACTTGCTTCTCCCCGTCACCACCTTCATATGCGGCTATGGCCTCTTCGTCTCCCGCAGCCGCAAAATCATCATCAAGCGTTGCAGACGTGGCAACGAAACCTGCCTTTGGCTCGAGGCGCATACCCTCCCCTCGCCCCGCTGTCGCAGGCGCGCTCATATATCCGCACCAGATTCCTGAAGGATGAAACGGAGGTCTGGTCTCAAAATGCCTGGGACCACGTTCCGCCACCCCCGGGTCAGCGCGAACACATAGAAGCGGCCCTCGCTCGCCAGCGTGCTGCGCCGGTGCCCGACGAGGATAAGAGCAAGTACAACGACAAGCCCGCGCGACATTGGGACGAGTTCTACAAGGCCAATCAGGACAACTTCTTCAAGAAGCGCAAGTGGCTCCACTTGGAGTTCCCTGAGCTCATCGCGACGACCAACCTCGATGCGGGCCCCAAAACGGTCGTCGAGTTCGGCTGTGGAACCGGTAGCGCCATCTTTCCTCTGCTTGAAGGCAACGCGAATCCCGAATTGAAGATCCGCGCCTACGATTATTCCTCGCACGCGATCAAGCTCGTTCAACGACACGAGATGTACTCCAGTCCGCCCGCGGGCGCCTCGATCGAAGCTGCAGTCTATGACGTCTCTCGGCCGGGCTTACCGCCCAATCTCGAACCCGGCACAGCAGACTTCGTCCTGCTTGTCTTTGCGCTAAGTGCGCTACACCCGGAGGAATGGGCGACGGCTGTTCGTAATGCGCACGCCGCACTCAAGCCCGGCGGGAAGCTACTTATGCGCGACTATGGCCGACATGATATGGCGCAGCTTCGCTTCCGCGGCGGGCGCCTGCTGGATGACAACTTCTATGCTCGCGGAGATAAGACGCGTGTATACTTTTTCGAATTGGGTAAGCCTTGATCTATACCATAATTGCGATGGGGATTGATCGATGTCAGATGAGCTCGCGCTGATGTTCACCGGTGAACGCGCGCGCGCTTCTGGTGCACAGGTCGATGTGCGGGAGACCGAAGAGGATGAACGCGAAGCATCCACTGCCACCGTGGACACACCTGCGCACGAAGCTGGCGCGTCGACTCCTGCAGTCGAAGTGCTCTCCCCTGCGTCGCATTCTACGCCATCCCGTGCACAGTCGCCAGCGGACTCGCTTTCACCTCCACATTCGCCTGTCCCTGCATCCGCCCTCGAACCCGCGCCGATATCGCTCGCAATGGCCCTCGAAACCGCACTGGACCCCAAAACGCTCGCAGCCGGTGTCGCTGCGTTTGAGGCTGCGGAGGTGAACCCACCTCTGCCTGCTCACCATCCCGATCGCCATTCGCCTGTCCCTTCCCCACCTGAGCTCCCCAAGGAAGCCCGACCCGGCCCACGCATACCATCACCCCCCGGGCGCACAGGCCCTCCAGATACCCGTGTCCCGGCACCTGCTCCAGCCGGCCCGGCCCTTGAACAGAGTGCAGCTGAACTGGCGGCGCCGATTCCCGGTCTGACGGAGAGCGTCGATGATGCCCAGCGAGAGTTGCGAGAGGCGGAGAAGAATGTCGAGGAGGCGAACAAGCATGCAGAGGATATGGCCAGGAAGTACGCTGAGCTGACGGGTGTTGATGATGATGCGGGCCAACGGACGACGCTGAGAGGGCCCGGGACGGCATCTGATGATATGCTGGAGACGATGAAGGAAGAGAGCCGCGAGGATCTGAGGTTAGAGGGGGAGACACAGATTCACCCGATCCTGCTTGAGAATGATGGCACAGCAACGGGCAAGGGTCTGTTCAAGGCGACACAACTCGGTGTTGATCGGCGCTTGCTCGTTAACCGCAAGCGTCAGCTCAAGATGTATCGCGTCTGGATGCAGGTTCAATTCGAAAAACTGTGATTATTGACAGCCAGGACGTGGCACAATAGAGATCGGGCTGAACGTGCACGAAAGCTTCCCACCTGTTGTACTTGTAACGCTGACGCAAGCATGTTTCTCTGCCGCGCGCACTCGTGTATCGATGGTCTCTCGGTATCTTCCGTAAGATACCGTATGCCGAGCTCTTACAAGCGGACCACGTACGCAAGAGGGTTCTTTCCCGTATTGCGTGTTTGAGACGACTCCCCGCACGGCATTCCCGTCGCTTTGTCCGTTTTTGCCTTACACTTTTACCGTCGCCAGGCCGATGATGGTATACAGACGCCAACCATATATCACACTTCCAGTCGGCGATGGTTCTCGTATAAAAAACAGCGGTGGGCTTCGGAAGCGTTAAGTTCTCACTTACACGACGCTCAAACTCTTACCGATCGAGATGTCCTCCAAAGTCACTGTGCTCTTCCTCGGCGCTACCGGTATGTGCATCCTATGACAATCTCATACTCGGACACTTATCGTACGTGCTAGGTTACATCGGTGGCTCGGTGCTCGAACTGCTCCTCAAAGACCCGCGCTTCGAGGTTACGGCGCTCGTGCGCGACTCGGCGAAAGCCCGAGTGCTCACCGAGAAGTTCGGTGTGCGCACCGTCGCCGGCAGCCTGGTCGACATTCAGCTCCTCACGGAGGAAGCTTCCAAGGCTGACGTCATCATCAATACCGTATGTCACCTCTTCTCTCGATCCTTCAGCATTCTCATGGACGCTTTTTGACAGGCATCGTTATGGATGTTGCCGGCCATCAAGGCGCTCCTGGCTGGTGCCAAAGCCAAGTTTGAGAAGACTGGCAAGAAGCCTATTTTCATACATACGGTAAGCGCCTTGCTGTAGCCTGTTCCCTGTAGCGCGACTGATCTCTGTATTATAGTCTGGAGCCGCAACCGTAGCCGGCGAGGACGTACGGGGTGAACCGGGCTCAGACAAGGTTACCGCCGACACAGATGTTGAAGCCATGACGCGTTCGTCTGGGAACGAGCCCACTGCCAACGACGAGAGCTCCGCCACTGTGTCCGAGGTTCCCACCATGGCCGATCTATCATTCGAGCACATTCACGGCGTTGTTGAGGCGACAGTCCGGCGCGCAGCAGACGAAGGCGGCTACGTCCGCTCGTACGTCCTCCACCCACCGTGTGTCTGGGGCGTGCGCCGCGGCCCGCTCATAGACGCGGGCGTGTCGAAAGTTCTGTCTCCGGCGCTTGATGGCATCGCACAGCTTAGCATCGCCCGTGGGCAGAGCGCGCTCATTGGGCGCGGTCTGAACAAGTGGGTACACGTGGAGGTTCATGAGCGTACGCACCCTACGTCCACTTCTTTCGCCCGCGGCGTTGCCTGACACAGTACGCCTACAGAGGCCGACCTGTACAAGCACATTCTTGACGCTGCTCTCGCGGACCCGAGCTTCCCCAGCGGCAATGAGGGCACCTACTTCGCTGAGAACGGGACCTTTGTGCAACTCGAAGGCGCCCGTGCGCGTGCGCGGGCACTGCACGCCGCTGGGAAGAGCGATACCGCTGAACCCAAAGCGCTTTCAAAAGAGGAGATCGCGCAGATGGGCCCAATGGGCGATATGGTGGGTGTATCACGATCCCTTCCTCGTGCTGCAGACTTAATCTGTTCTACTCTAGCTCGCTTTCATTAACGGGTTGAACGTGGTGTGCCGCGGCGAACGGGGGCGCCAGTTGGGTTGGGCGCCAGTTCTTGGAACCGATGCGTTCCTGGCGAGCGTGGAGGCTGATATGCAAACTCGCCTGAAGGTATAAGTACTTGATCTTGCCTGTAGGATGCAACGAGGAGTATTCAGTAATTTAGAAACATCAGGATGGAAGTATTACAATGCGTGACAAATTCGCAGGCTGAAGTGCTCATATAGCTGCCTAGAAGATGCACAAGAGTAACCTTCGATAGCTCAGTTGGAAGAGCGTGGGACTGTAATGGTACACTCAATCATCCCAAGGTCACTGGTTCGATCCCGGTTCGAAGGACTCACAATGAGTACGTAAGTTTTTCTTTTCACTTTCGGTTCCTTGGTATCATCGTTTATAGACTTCTATTATTTGATGGAGGCATTATGATACCAGGGTTACGACCTTATCGTGAAGAGAAATATCTTGGTGATGCCAGCTCGGCGTGCGAAGTTTGCCACGAGTGCACGAAATGATGTTTGAGTGTTCGGCGGCGCTTGACTCTGCGCATCGCTCGGGTTCCTACCACCCAGACTATACCATACAGCCCCTCCGGGGCACCACTGGGGCTCTCTCGCTTTTTGTCGGCCATACAGACGAGTGCTCTAGTTGGCAAGGAACTGATTGTGTGATTTCCAGCTTGTCAAATAAGTAAGACTGGCTTTTGCAGGTCTCGAGGACCTGAAGAAGCGGAAGCTGATGTCAAGTTTCAACGTCTCAACGATCGCGCATGCAGACTTGTCTCTCACCATCACTGGTGCGCTCGACCCTCTCCCTTCGTGCGCGCCCTCCATCGCCCGCTCTACCTTCTCTGTCTTTGCTCATCTATCCTTCGCACTACTTAGCTACATACCGGTCCTTACACGCACGCTCATGTGGGTGCATCCGCGCCCGAGTGGGTTCCTCCATAATCCTACGAGCCGTCTTCACCTCCTACGCCACCCACGACACCGCCATCCCTTCCTCCTACAGCAGCATATCCTCCATACTCTGTCTTCCTTGCAGACCTCGTAGTTACGAGACAAGCCCTCATTCAATATCATGTGTCCTCAGCCATCCTTCGTTGCTTCAAATGGCACCCTGGCTCAGTATATGGACTCCAATCTATTTAAAAATGTGTGCCCCGTCGCTCCCCCTCCACCCTGCATCGTTGCGATTGTCCTACAGCTACCTCACACAGTGCGTCTTGCTATACAGTCGGACTTTCACGAATATAAGGCTCGGGCCGACGCACAAGCCTCGGTTCAGTTTACGGCGGTCGATGGACCCTCCGAAGCTCCGCGACGACTGCGCGCGTCTCTTGCCAATCATTGAGAGGTCATCTTCCTCGCTGATGCTTGCTAATTCGAAACACTTGACTCCGCCGCCGCCGCTATCGCTATAAGTGAATTCGAAGCGCCTCTGGTTGGCCGGTACTGCATGCGCCAGTGATCACATTCACGTCTACGCTCGTCTGTCCGCCCGCCCGTTTCGAGCCAGAGCGCTGCCCCCTGTCCCGCTTCCTCCGCTGCCCACATCCTCATCCTATCACCCGCACGTCTCCCCAATCATCACCGACCGCCTCTTTTGGCTCAAGCCCATTACGCCGCCGTGCAAATTGCACTTCGCTGGCCCGCCATTTGCCACTCAGCATCCTTCACCAGCGAATACAACTTACCGTCGCCAGACGAGCTCACACATACACACCAGTGTGCTTTGAAGGAAGCCCTTCAAGACCGCCCATCCAGCTTGATCCCCTACACTGAGTCAAAAGCCCCATCGCTATCCAAACCGCCTTCACCCCGCGATGTTACCCGTGCAATCGCGTCAGACACTTCAATGCCTGGTTCGTGTGTGTGTCTGTACAGGCGTCCGGCATATACGATGCTCCCAGTGACTACGTGGCCGACCAATGTCGGCTTGCGCCGTGCGTCTCTATTGCCGGATACGACAAGTTTAAGTGCCAGATTGATGCACTCGCTGATCCACTCGACTAACTCAGGTATCCTTCAGCCGCGCGTACGCGATGCGTACTTCGCCGACGCACTTCGGCTCGGAGCACACCGTGAGATATATCGCACTCGCTTCAATCGCTCTCCGACGCAGACCAGTCTTACCCTGTTCTTGAGGATGCCGCTTTTCGTGAACACTCCTTGTAACTTGCTATTCCCGAGCCGGTCTAAGCTCAAGACCCGATATACGAATCCATCGCGATCCGACGATCCCCACCCGCGTGGAAAATCGCGGCAAAGGGGCAGGTCAATTATCCCAGAGCGATTCGATTGCAATTGCAATTGCAATCCGAGGCAGGGTCCAGCATGACGAAGCACAACCAGAGAGCATCTGAAACGCCCTTGGCCGAACTTTCTGGATGTTGAACATCTCCCGGTTTGGTAGTCGACGGCTGCGCCGGCGACCGCAATTCGCTCGGATTGGTTGACTGTGTGGCGAGTTCCCACTTCGAGACCTTTCCAGCGACCTCGGCATCACTCGTCGGTGGTTGTGAGCTCCACCCGCGATTGCAACTGCAATCGCAATCGAACTGCTCAGGGATAATTGAACTGCCCCAAAAAGTGCGGAGATGACATCCGAGCACCCTCGCGCAGCGCGCTCGACCTTCTCTGCCGCGTACGGGCGGCCGAGTCGCCCATGGATCCGAGGTACGCCGCCCGTACTGTGGTGGGGAATGAGGAGAGGGTCAAGATGCGACTCGTCGCCGTCATCTCGAAAGCCAGCGCGAAACCCCGAAAGCAGGGGACACTCAAAATCTCTGGAAACGCGCGCCAGCGCGGTGGCGCGGCGCGCAAATCCTGGCGCGGTGGCGCGCTTGGCAAGGCGGCCGGACCGCTGAGATGAACTCGAGTCGGCGCGCTCGAGATCGAAATTGATGGCGCGCCCTGGCGCGCCGCGCGAAATGGGGACCCACAACACAGTGTGGCCTCTGCACTGAGCGGCACAGCTGCGCTCGTACCCCATATCGCTGCAGTATGCCTAGTTGGCATGTCTGCTACATCAACAAACCGTGAAGCCAGTTCAAGTGCTTGTTAGGGCTTCAAGCAATGCAAGCAATTTAAGAGAACCCACCGTTTGAGTCCTCGCTCGTCGAATTCCCAGCGCTCGCTCGATCCGTCCTTAGGCGTCCCGTGCAATATTCTGCCGTAGACGCGTTCCGTCGTATCTTTGCTACCCAGTAGTACAACGTTGAGCTCAAACGTCCAAGTAACGAGTGAGTTCCAGATCCAGAAAACCGTCGAGAGGACGAGAACAACATTCGCGACGCGCGTGGCAGCGCTTTAGCGAGCCTCGAGGCTGGTCTACAGCCAATGGGCAGCGTCAATCACACGCCGCTTAACGCGTTCGAGACCTGCAAAAGCTCTTGGATCTCTTAAATCGCTTGAGCTGCTTGAAGCCCTAACAAGCACTTGAACTGACTTCACGGTTTGTTGATGTAGCGGCGCCAGGG